TTTCTTTCTTTCTTTCTTCTTTCTTTCTTTCTTTCTTTCTTTCTTTCTTTCTTTCTTTCTTTCTTTCTTTCTTTCTTTCTTTCTTTCTTTCTTTTTGTGGTACCAGAGATCAAACTTGGGACCTTGTGCTTGCTAGGCAGGCAATTTAGCCACTGAGATATTTCCCTGGCCCCTGACTGTGATTTTTAAAAGTAAAAGAAACCAGATGTTACTTCTGGATTGACATTGACCTGCTCCTACCCAAATGAACAAATGTTAGAAATCAAATAACAAGCACAACACTCAGCCTTCAGACCAGCCAGTGCTTATTGTGCATTATCGCTGTTTTATTTTCACTGCTTCCTTCCATTCTTTTCCTTCTGTTCTGCAGTCTGATAGGTGGAGGATTTTTAACAAGAAGCTAAGATTATGGGTGGAGAGTATGTAAAAGAACAATGAAAAACATATGCTAAAAAAATCTTTTCCATAATTATAGAAAGAACAAACACACATTTGCTATTCTTAAAAAGCCAACTTTTATAGACAAGGAATAATAATATGAGCAGTCACTTATCATCCCAGGCCTGAAGAAAGCCAGAGGTTCTGGTTTTGAATGAGATTCGCTTTGCCACGGGGTAGGCCAGGAGAGGCCCAGGTGAGGCGTGGTCTTTGAGGTAAGGCAAGGCCCCCTAGGTCCCACTTGTCTGGGGTGGGCATCACAGAAAGAACCCCTTTCAGACTTTAAAAACAATGTCTACTTACTTTAAATGGATATGATTGATATCCCTAGAAAACAGTCAGCTAGCACAAGTATCCCTGGGAAAGACCACAGTTGTGACTAGCAATTATTTTAAGTTGTCCCCAGAGCAGATCGTTGCCTGTTAGGGCCTGTGGAATTCTAGCAGAAAATACCAAGTTGCAGAGATATCTAAAGACATACAGTTTAGGTTTGATGACCCCAACCTCACAGAGAGGCTTAGTACCTCACTTTCTAAGACAGAAGGATTCTCAGCCAGTGTCATGTATCTGATAAAGATGTGCTGATGGCCTGGCCAGCTGCATACATGAAAGAAGGAAGGACCTCCATGTGCACCTGCCACATGGCTAATCCCAGACACACCACAGCAGACCCACTCAGAAGCACGAGCTAAGGCTAGATGCATATGTTTTGAATGGAATTAAAATTTCTTCTTCATGAGGACAAGACATTTTTATTAGGTAATTTAATAAAGCTCATCTTGTTCTGCTTTGCTAAGAACTTTCTCAACTTGCAAGTTGTTTCACGGAGTCTGCACTCTTTGGTGTCACAGCAGTATCACCAGCTGACGGCCAGCATGGGTGGCAGGTTTGGAAAAGCAACAGCCTGGTTCTCATTGGAGGTCCTGTCCTCAACTTAGTGACAGGGATTCCACCATCATCATTTGGGGTTTGACTGGTTTGATTTTGTTCTATTCTATTTTCTTTCAGCCCCCCTGTCCTATTATATTTTCAGAAGATGTAAAAGTTACTGTCACTGAACTTTATGCTGTTATTGTCACTAAACTGGTTGTCCAGAAAAAAATCTCTTCATGATCCAATAAGAG